GTTAGAGAAGATGGTGCTGTAGCTGCTTAGCATTTTACGAAAGTTGGAGGAAAAAGATATTGAACCAATTTTTATGATTGCTTTGGTGTGATCACAGCAGTTGCTAATATGGATCGTCAAACTAGAGATGAGCTTATGAAAGGATATAAATGTGTTTTTTATTGAACAAAGTAACAATCCAAAAGAAGGTAGTTTCAAAGACAAGAAGCTCTTTAATTGCAGCCTTCAGGAGCATTGTTTGATCACTGTAAATAGGCTGCTTTATTCCGGGTTCTGCTAAAATGTGGGGTTTTTTTCATTATGTTACATACATGTTTCTGGAATCAAAAAGATTACTTGATTTACATTTTAAGCATCTTACACTTTCTTTGTGGCTTGAGTGAGACAAACACAGTTACTGTTGGGCAACAACAAATAAAGGTACTATAAGGTTCATTTAAATTTTGTCACTATAATGTTCGTGTGGGTCCACATCACACAGCTGAAGTAAAATCTTTCAGGGTCACATTGTCACACAGCGAATATTTCCACAGTGTTTTAAGACTAATTATGATGGCTTTTAAAGGAAAAAGAATTTTTATTGTCCCTTTTGAAAACCATGCAGTTTCCATCCCTCCCTTTTATCAGCACAAATATTTGCTGCAAATGCCTAGATGACAAATCACACAGGTAATATTTTTCTTGTCTGAATGTAATCTTCGTTGTACTATTCCAGGCAAAACACCAAGGAAAGGCTAAAATCAGGGATAAGGCAATCTGGTTGCAGACAAATATGTAATTACAATCAATACTGTATGTGCAATTGGACCCCCAAAAATGAATCTCTTCTTGCATGGATGGCAGAGTCTCATTTTTTTTTTTTTTTATTTTTTTTAACCTGTTTTCATTAAAAATGAGGCTTCTGCAATCAGTCTCGGTCTGTAAACCATTTCCTCCCAGCATCTCACCCTTATGATCTTTCAACCTCTTGGTCTATTTTAAATGAAGCTGATAAATGAGGAGGTAATTAAAGACCCACAAGTTGCCCATGAATATGGTCATCAAGGTAGATTTCTACATACATGTACACACATTCATCTGTCTGTACGCTCAAATATATGTTCTACTACTGATAAGCTATGGAAGGTTGGTCTCTGATTTCCTTAATTGGATGGAAAATATGGTGGCATACCTCTGTTACTCAGTGGTTACATAAGCAATTTCTCCAACTTTTCTTCTGCTATGAAAGGTACAGTCCTGTGACCATGAGTCCTGGGATTCTTGGGCACTCTCCACCTCTACTCTGCTAAAAGCTTTTCTTGCTTCTACAAGACCTAAAATGTCCTTCCTAAATGCTTAGTACCCTTTCCCTTCTCGATGATGTAAAAAAATATGTCTTTTCTTTCTTCCTTTTTAATTCAAGAACGGGTTCCCTTTCCTTGGTATTACTACACAGCATTCTTTGCCAGTAGATTATGTACCCATGTGATAATTTATTTCTTTGATGGTAAGACAACCAGCTCACTTAATTTTGGGGGGCTTTATTTTTTTATTTATTTTAGTTAAAGCCATAAAATGTTTGCGGTTTTTAAGTTTTAATTTTCATCTCACTTTTTCCTCAAACTGATGCTTTTAGATGAATGATCCACCTGTTTTCCACATCAATGTTACGTTTTGTTCTGCTGAAAGACCCTGAGAGTTAAGGTGCTTTGACAGCCTCATGACTGCTCCATTCTTCCCCTCAGGGCTGTTGCTTGGGTTGGTCTACTCCAGCTATCGTGTTATTTGGAAATCAACCATGGCCAGCAAGGCCATGGAACCTGGATAGCACAGTGCCCATGCTCCTATGGAGTCTACATGTGGATGTGCAGCGGGGCCCTGCTGCATCCTGCAGAATGCCTGCAAAGGCTGTCTAGCAGAGGTGAAGGCAAATGTGCCTGGAGGCCATAATTAGTCAGTGCAGTTACTTTTATATGTTAAATGATTTCTAAGGGTCTGTTTTCAAGTGAGTTATTCTGGAGAAGTTGGATCTAAATATGCACTTACGAAGAAACCCAACAACTCTAGAAGCCATGAGCTCCCATTTTGAGTAGGTTTTCACAAATATTTATTCAGAGGTGAGAATATTGGAATTATTTGCTCATCTTTCCATGTTTCTGTAATGCAGGGCTCATCATGCTGCGTCCCCTAGGATTCCCTGTATCTAATAATATCATGGCTGCTTGTGATTGCTACTGTGTCTGATGTGAGGAGTGAGGTGGTTCAGCACAAAAGAAATTACCCTCTTCGAGGCTGCTCAATCTTTCTCTCCCTCTAATATGAAATAAGTATTGCACATTGTCCTGGGTTCAGCAGTAGCGGACATGGCTTTTCTGACTGTCATAAAATATCCTGTGGAGTTCAGCTAAAGGAATGAGAGCTATGATAATTCCTCATGTGTTTATTAGAGCAACAGCCAGCCTACTGAGGGGAGCTGTAGCAATATCCAGCGGAGACATCCAACTTAATGCTGAATTACACAGAGACTCAAGGGAGAGCAAATAACTATGCACTACCTTTACAATAAGAAAACCTGACTGGTTTTTTTTTTCAGTTAAAGGTCAGAAGCTCTCTTGGTCTTCTGCTTGGTACCAGATGGGCTGAAAGTATGCATTAACAGCATGGTTCTTCACCTGGCTGTAGCTGATATATTTGTCTGGCACTATAATCCAGAATCCCTTTGTGCTAATCATCGAGTCAGTAGCCTGCTGGGGGAGTTTAGAGCCTAAATTCAGCAGACTTCATGATCCTATGTAGGGTTCTCAGCAAGAGAAACCAGGCAGTGTTGGCACATGCAGCCTGCTGAAAGCAACTGCCACACAATATATTAATGCTTTTTGGTTTGGCTTTTTTTTGGCTGATATTCTTTCTACACAGGGTTAAATACCTACATTGGTATGTGTCTTCTTCAGGGTAGTAGCTGGGGATTTCCAAGTGTCCATCTCAACTGTGAAAGCATTGCACAAGCAACGGACAGGTTTGCCTGGCCTTGCCTTCACAGCAGAGCACCTTTACCCAGCTGCCCAGTGTTACTCCTGTTCATCCTTCTGTCCTGATACAAACTTGCTGTTTTGAGGCTTTGGGTTTAGGCTAGAAGCAGAGCAACTTGTGCTCAGCTTGCACTTGCAGTGACCTCCCATGAGGTCGAGGTGGTAGCCAAACACTTGTCACCTGGAAGTGCTGCAGCAGAGTTGATAAATATATCCCAGACTCAGTAAGAGATACTGATTAGCCCAGGCTGTGCTTGTGACTGGAACTGATCTTGAATGATCATTAGGAAAATCACTCAGGTAATAGTTGCATTTTTGATATGACACCTGGGTAAAAAAAAAAAAAAAAAAAAAAAAAAAAAGCTTTCTTTTTTCTCCCCAGCAACTACAAGGAGAGCTGTGGAGTAAGGAATGGTGCTTTCTGTGGGAAGTGAGTTCTGCAGGCAAGGGCAGTATGTCAGTCCAGGCCATCTCAATTATTGATTGCTACTATATAGCCAGAGATCAGGTGTTAAATACCTCTCATTGCCTGAGACCATTCTGGTTACCTAGGTTAAAATGGAGAAAAAAAAAAAAAAAAGCCAAACCCAGAAACTTAAATTGAACAAGATGCAAGAAAGGGGCTATTGGGGGATTGTGGGAAGGAAAATCTTCTCGGAGGAGATAAAAAGAATTTGTTTCTTCATATTTTTGTCAAAAATGTGACCAGAGAAGGGCAAAAATAACCTTGAAACCCTTTGGAGAAACGGAAATGAGAAAAAAAGTATTTTAAGTAGCAAAACAATGTTAGTAGCAGAGCAAATGAATACACTTACCAACGCATTGGGAGTGAAACTGAGAATAAGGTTTCTTACCACAGGGAAATGAAATTCTGAGATGGGATTCTAGAAAGGGTACTTCCACATCACTTAAATACAGAGCTTGGTAAGTTCTTAGAAAGAACTGCACAGCATCAGAAAAACAGAAGCTAGCATTAAAATCAGCATTTCTGATGTTCTGTGTTCAATGCAGTCCTATCTACAAATGGAACACCATGTGTTTGCTGTACTGTCTTTCTATAAAATTAATTAGTCCCATGCTTCAAAGCTTCTTCTAATCTCCTGCAATGACCAGGAAGAATTTTCCTTCTGCATAACTTGTCTTTTGTTTTGGTTTTGCTTTATTCTTACACACTTCTGAAACAGCAGAGATTGACCACAGCTACAATGGAGAAGGGGAGGGTTGGTTTTGTCAGGGCAGAGAAGGGAGGGCTGCTTTTGACAGGGCAAACTGCAGTTCCAGGTTTTGTGAGGAAGCTCTGAAATGCTTGGTTGAATTGCCTTGCTCCTGATCTCAAACTTCTGAGTATCACAGACAAAAAAGGAATTTTTTTTGCTGCCAGGTCAGAATCACTAGGCATTTTTTCAGCATGAGGCAAGGGATTACCACTGTCAATTGACCAGTCTTCCATTTTCTTGTACTTTCTTTAGGTTTTCTGTTCCTACAGAAAGCTCAAATGCTAGTTGCACTTTGCTGTCTCTTGGGCTCTTCCTGAGGACCTTTAGCGTTTATGATTTTTTGTCTTCTGCTGTAGTCTATGTCCTATGGGATATGCTATGCCCTATGCCAAGCAGAGGCACCTTTCCTGTGCAAGCTCCACTGCCTGGTGATTTCAGGAGGCAGCTCCTGATGACCCAAGTAATCCTATGCTCTACTTCATTCCATTTTGTCAACTTGGAAATGCAGGTTCTTCAGACCTTGTTCTCCTCATATGCATCTAAGATCAGTGGGCACATAGATCTGACCTAGAGATCACTGAAGCCACAAGATTCTCTCAAGACACTAAAGAAGAAAATAAAACATTAGGTTAGTTATATATAAGTTATTATATATAAGTATTGTTTCATATAACTTGTTTTAAGTATTTTTGCTTTCATTCAAAGAGGTAAAGTCACTTGAAAAAGTGAGAACAAGCTGAATAATGCTTTTCTTTCCTTTTGTGTTTCTTTTCAGGCTCCGTCTATGAAATGTTTGGACATGAATGCTGCCTGTCAACAGGAGAAGTCATTAAAGTTATTGGCTTCAAAATTAATAAGCTTATAGCAAGTATCTGTGAGAATAATGAAGTCAGCCAGTTTTCAGCCAAAGTGGAATTACCACTGAATTTTCCTGGTATAGTATTTCATGAATGCATGTTTTTAAGAAATTATAACCCTGAGTATTCACCTTTATTCATTTTATTAATTTGCTGTCTTGATTAATATTTGCTTTAGGTTACAACTCAGCTATCAATGATACAATTTTATTAGATGGCACATGAAACAATCATCTTGCTTTTGAATTTCAACTCTTACAGTTCTTTTTCAAGCCTGGATAAATGTTATTAAGGTTATAACATTTGTTAGTTAAACTTTCTCTACTTAAGATTGCTACAGAAATCTTCTTTTCAGTTACTTATGACTTCTTTGCCAAGCTTTCTCTGAGCTAAACTCTCCTTGCTGTGTGCTCAGACTATAATTTATTTATTATTACTATATTTTTATTTTATTATTTTTGATATAAAGTATTACAAATATTTTGTTATGTTTTGGGTTTACTTCAATCATTTATTTTAATTCCAGTGGCCAAAGTGGCTGCTCCATGCATAGAAACAGTAGTAGAGGAAAATGGATGTGTTTTCCTGCTTAAAGACCACTTCAGCTGTTCTATAGCAAAGTCCCAAAATATCTGTATTTTGGAGGATGGACTTGAAATTTGGCGCATTACAAATAACTGACTTGTTCTTTGTAACACATTTCTCTCTGTTCATGTGGCCTTGTTAGGGTGAGCTGGGCAAATGCTGTATGTACCAAGAGCACCTAGTTGATCACATGTCATATTTATTCATTTTTCAATTCTGCTGTCATCTCAATTCCTCTGTTGTTAGGGCCCAGTCTTGTTAAAGGCGGAAGTTACTGGAGTACAGAGGGAGAAGTGCTGTACTGTCAGCATCCATGTGTGGGAAGTGGAGGAAGCAAATTAGGTTAGGCAAAGTTTGGATCGTGGAGCAGGGGAACATGATGAAGACTCAACAAGCAAAGATCAGGGACTGGAGACAGCAGTAGAGGTGTTTACCAGCATCAGAAGAGGACTGCACCCACACAGATATATACATGTACAGCATTTCATATGTTTGGAGTCTTGCAGGCAGCAGAGGTAATGAGAGTCCCCCAAAGAGAGGAGAGGACAATGCTGGAAAACAGCACAAAAAGGCAAGTGAGATGTGGGAGGGAGCCTGTGTAGGTCTGGCAGAGAAGTTATGGGACATCTGAACATAGGAAACACTGGGACAGAGCACACAGAAGACACAGCAGCCCACAAGAGATGAAGATCACATCCAGAACTCACTTTGGCCAGCACTAATTCTAGCTAATGCACTGAATGAGACTACAGTTCTGTAGGAGAAAAAGAATAAATCACAGAATGTAAACATTTAACACTGTGTTGTGCTGCAAGGACATGGGAGGCTAAATTGGTGCTGCATAGGGAAACATAATTGAGTGTTTTCTAGTAACTTCATTGATGTTCTTCTAATGATTGTTCTTCTAATGATTCTGATTGATTGACTTAGTAACTTCACTGATGTTCTTCTGATGAATTGCTGAGCATGTGAGAATGTGTGCACATGCATATATATGGTTTAGGCTATGCCAGTGTCCAAACTGGTATGTGCTTTTTCTACAGAGGAAGACAAGACACACTTCATGAAGCAAGTAAAGTGTAAAAGCACCTGAGAATGCAATGTTTTATCTGAAATCCACAGGAAAATATCTTCTGCCATGCCTTCATTTTCAATCTCTAACATACAAATTTCTGCCTAAAATAGTCTTATATATAATTTTCTTTTTCCCAGTAGATCCTCAATTTTCTTTCATGTTTTTCTTACTCAGTGAATCAGAGACATTTGTATGACCACTTATTAAAAGACTTTTTTGGGATGTCATTTTCAAGCATTAGTAGGGCCCAAATTGATTGAAGACAATTATCTGTGGCTATCTAGAGATATTAAAGTATAGCTGTACTGTGAACTCTCAAGATACTTGGTATTTTTCTTCAAATCCAAGCTGCTTTGCCATTATTAAAATTTCTTGTCTCTAAAATACATACACATATACTAATATACTCATATTCTAAATCTCGATTGGCAGATGGGGTTGAACATTTGAATTCTAAAATATCCAACACAACTGAGTGATAAAAATAGTCCTACATTTATTAATGTTGAATCTCCTGATTTTTAGAACAGAATGACTTATGATTTCAAATGCTTGAACCTGGTGAATCTGGATTTATTTGTATTCAAGTGATCAACTTTCAACTTGGCATTTGGATGTTTTTGCCCTATTGAGCACATTTTCAAATTTTGTCTGATCACTACAATTCGCATGAATACTTACGAACTCTCCCAACCAGTGTTCTAGAAAACTGGGTTATTTCAGTAGAAAAATAAATTCAGAGTTCATTTTGCTAAAATTCATCTTTATTATCCTCCACATGATGGGTATTACTGAACAGCAGCACTGAAGAGGGGCATAATGACACTTCTTATCAGCCCAACAGGGAGTAGCACTCCCTTGTTTCTCTCTGTATGTGTACTGTTATGCATTCAAGAGCTTTTTGGTAAGATGTATATTTGTCATTTCTCTAATTTAGTTCTTAGCTGAAGAATGATTCTGCTTTACAAAGTAAAGATGTTCCAGTCTCTGCTTTTTCTTGATCTTTTTCCTTTTCACTTTATTACATACACATGCTAAACTCTGAACAAAACATTATATTAGAGCATTGCTGGCTTGCCCCTGTTTCCAGAACAAAGCACAGAACCAAACTGCAGATGATCTTTTTCACACTGACATTGACTTACTTCAAGAAAAATATCCAGAGATGTCTAGGAGGCTGACAGTGTATTTACATTGTGTGTACAGTGCTCTCTTGCCAATCTTTTGCTTTGATGTTATTTTCCATTTCCTCTGAGTTATCATTTGTATGTGGTGGGCTCATGTATCCTTTCACCATGTGCATGCTAGCATAAATAAGTCTTCTATTTCTGTTACACTGGGGATAATGTCTCTGTGAGTAAAGACTGGGCTCATTTGCTTTAAATGATCCTTACTCTTTGTCTTTTTGAATGCATTTGCAGTCTACAGAATTCTTTTTTTCTGCTCTGGCAAATCAGATCCTTGATAGAGGCCTAATCTGTCTTTTGCATTAGAGAAACCACTACAACTGCAAGTTCACTATCTGTGTTACTGCATTTTATCCTTATTCTAATTTGTTCTTTTTCATGCCTCAGAGGGCCAGGCTATTCTTTCTATGCACATGCACTGGGTAAAAAGGGAACTCTGCTGTTATTATAGACACTTCAATGACTACATCTAACAGCATTTTGAACTACGATTTTCACTACTAACAAGTTAGCAGAGACAGGTAATTTGCACAATACCCAAACTGTGTGCCAGCACAAATGATTTCATTCTGTTTTGTTAAATTCCTTCTCCTGCAAAAATATTGCTAGGCTGTCTGTGGTCTCAGAGGGTCCCTGGTAGCATTGCTGCTTATTCCTACGTGGTCTGACAGACACATAGCTGAGCATGGCTGTGCCTTTTAGCTTCCAGCCTCTGCAAGCCAGGGACAGGGGTTTGTCTATGGCCATACAGCATGTATGTGGAAGATAAGGGGTTAGGCATTAGAAGGCTGATCTCAATAGGAGATGATGGAGACACAGGAGAGATGGCCTTTGGGGCAGGATAAGGAAAGGAGCATGCTGGAGCAGGGGAGGTAGCAGAGTGGGTGGTGAAAGTGAGTGAAAAGAGGAATAGCAATCAAATCACCTCCAGAGAAGTTGGCAAACTGAGCTCTTCCCAGTCTTCTACAGTATCTTGGGGAACAAACATTACTGGTCTGGAACAGAAGGTCTTATATTTTTTCTCCTTAAAGGCTACTTGCTTCTCTACTAGGTGAGCCTAACTACTGGCTTTCTCAGTTTTCTGCAGGGAAAAGAAATAAAAAAGATAATAAAAAGCATATTCCTTTTCTTCAGGACTCAGTTATAATTAAGACTGAAAATGAATCTCTATAAAGATACAGGGAGATACACTATATCACTCAATAACTGTTAAAAGAGACCTGCATATACTGTTCTGTAATAAGGTGCTAGAAACATCCTTCTTGCAAAACATGCTTTCCCACTGGACTAAATGGGTGATTCTTGGTCTGTGTTTCCTCTCCCATACCAGTGAAGAAAATTTTTTCAAATTCCCAAACCCTCTCTCTCTACCAATGTGTGCATCATTGCTGGGCTGATTAGGTTTGGTGCTTACTGATTTTCATATTATGGCTAGGCCCACACTTTACCTTGTGAAATGCCTTGGTGCAGAGGGTTCATAGAGTGTACAAGGGTTATACATTCATGTAGTTACTATGTATGTGTAGTTATTCTTGTCTCTAGCTGTAATTTTTTCCAGAACTATTGGGCATCAGTTCATTTTAGCTGTAGACCAGATGACTACATTTAGAAAGTAGATATATAGGAGCAGTATTGCCAGCTCTTAATAAACCAGCTGGACTTTTTTGCAGGTTTGCTATTTCAATCTGTCTTTCCCCCCACTAGTCCACCAAGCTCTTGTAGGAAAGCCCAAGTGAATTTAAGTAATTTTATGACTTATGAAAAAATGCACAAATATTTTTGTTTGACCTCAAAATGTCTGAACTTTAGCATCTCAAACTTACCATATGTCTCCTACTCTGGAGATTTCTTTGCTATCTTAAGTTTGGAAAATATTTGGCTTTGTAATTTAATTCATAATGATATTAATAAGGTTCTAAATGGTTCCCTATAGTGTAATGTTTGGTTTTTATGGGTTTGTGTGGGTTTTGTGGTTTGGTTTGGTTTGGTTTGGGTTTTTTTTTTCATATTTTTTCTTTGGGGAGAGTGGGAGTTTTTTGGTTGGTTGGTTGGTTAGAGTTTTTTTGTGTTTGTTTTTTTTTGTGTGTGTTTGTTTGGGTTTGGGGTTTTTGGTTGGGTTTTTTTGTTTGTTTTTATATATATATGTATATTTATCAAGGAGAGCATTTAGAAGATGCCATCACAGATTATGGCAGTTAGATAGTAACAAAGTGACTTTCACCCATCATACCAAAATGAATTTTTATATATTCACCTCTTTTCTGTATAGAGAGAAACATATGGAATTTTACATACTCATATGCATAAACAGGTGGCTATTAGGTGCCTCTACTTCAAAGGTCTCATTGATGCAGATGCTAAGTATACTAGGCCACATGGCTCTTTACTTGCCTATGCAAGCATTCTGCTACCCAAATTAAGAAAACCAGCAAAATGGAAGGTGATGATTTTCCTGCTCCTAACCCTTGCAAAGTCAGTCTGCCTTGGCCCGAGGGGATAATCAGTTGTCCAGTTTTGTATGAGATCTGGTAATTATGTTTCTACATGAAACCTGCTTTATAACCCAGGATGCTCATTGGTTTTGTTGCTGAAATAGCTGGCTTTCATACAGCCCCAGCAAAATTAGTAGAGCCTGAGTCTACTGTCAGACTCAGATGGAAGAATGGTATTTCTCATACCTGTACTTTGCCAAATATTTTCAACGGGGAATATTTTTCTAACATAGCTTATGAAGGCTTTTTAATGCAATTCTGGAGGTTTTCTTGGGGCAATATGCATGCTCCTGTATCACAGATAGATAAACATAGTTATTGCCTTTGGGATACATTGTATGCACTTTGAATAAATTTTTTAATTAAGAGTATTCCTATTTGCTTTCTCCCAGCACTGCAAGGAGATGATGCCCATCTTGTGTTTGCAAAGCATGACACTGGAACACTGTTTGGGGGACGCTGTCTTTCCCACGATTTCAGTTTATCATTAGTGCCTTGTCACTGCAATATATTCTAAAGGCTGATGAACCACTTTGTCTTGATCTGCACTGGCAGGTCCAGTGGTGATTAGGACTGGGGTAGCTAACTTGCTTGTTAATAATTGCATTAAAAACGACTCTGAGCAACATTAAAAATACCAGTGAGAAAGAAAAGTTGTACTTTGTACCTGTGCAGTTTCTGCTGGTTGGGCTTGGGGAAATGAGAGAGAAAAGGCACTGTAGCTTCTTTGTCACTGTAGCTGTAGCTAGTGGTTAATTTGTGGCTAGCAAGCTCGGTTTAGGAATAACCTCTATGTATGTCTTGGAAGCAAGCCTAAGTCAATGCCTGTCCCAGGAAGCTGCAATGCAATGCCATGAGGCAGCATTCACGCTGCTGTGCCTTGGGAAGAAGACAGCTGAATCACACAGTTCAGCTAAACCCTACTGTTAAGTCCAGTAAACCATCCACTTCATCTGCCTCTATGAAAACATTCAAGCAATACAGAAATGTACACATTTTTGTTGTGATGTGAAGTCCCAATGAGACAGCTTCATGGGGCATGATTAACATGAAATAATAGTGTCCCTAGGGGATAGGGAGGCTCAGATGCAGCTTCTGTCTTGCAGAACTTCAGCATTTTGATTGCTTTGTGATGGCCAGAATATTACACCACTCAAACTTTGAATTATTCCATCTGATGGTCTGGGCTATCATATATGCTAAAACCAATTTTCTTTGCTTATTCTTATCCATGGGTGCTACTTTTTAATTTGTGATATATCTTTAAACATATTTGGTCTTGGACTCCCCAGTCTGTGTGTGGAAGAATATGTAGTACTGATGTTTAGGCAGAAAACTTATCTTGCATTTCACATTACTGCCGCTCTTCCTCATATCATGTCTGCATTTATTTCTTACAGGTTGGTTTCCTAGGAAGACAAATGAGAATTTAAGATAATTTTTCTTCTTACTGTGGCAAAGAAAAATTTTTACCATAGATGTAAATATGTTGGATGTCAGATGCAGAGCAAAAAGGGCTAGTTCCAGCTGCCTAGACATAATATCATATAGTTGATATTATCTCTTTAGAGTCACAGTTCTAACAACCAAACTATCAGCTATGAATTGTTTGATGTGCTTTGCTCCCCATTTTTATTGCATTCATAGTCTAAAATTTGGCAAGGCTTGCTTTGTATATTTTCCCTTTTGTAACGCAAGTTTTTCTGTTCTTAGGTCTTTATAAAGTTATGGCAGATAAAACACCATATGTCAGCGTTGAAGAAATTACAAGAAAAGTCTCTATTGGGCCGACAAGATTTGGCCATCCATGTTTCTACAGCCCTGAGGACATAAAGTTGGCAAACCTCACTATCAAACATGGTGAGCACATCACCTTCAACTCAGTGGAAGAGGTCAATGGAACAATGGCTGTGAACTGTGTTGTAGTCAGAAATAACCAGTCTCATTCCTTTACTTTGCCCCTTTCACAAGAAGGAAAATTCTATGAGTGTGAAGATGACCAAATATACACCTTAAAAGAGATCGCAGAATGGAAAATCCCTAAGTGCAGAAACAGGATTGTCAAACTTTCCAGTACTATACATATGTGGGACTTCTCTAATCCACTTCCTGAGAATTTTGATGGCTGCTTGATTCTCACACCTGTCTATGAAGTGCAGGCAGTAATGAAATGTAAGTAGAAATCAAAGTCAATGTTCTGATAAGCTCGGTAGAGCAAAGGACACAAAATTTGCTTAAAATAGGAAGGATTCAGTTTAGTCAAGAATTAGTGATCCATATTTGCCACTGATGCTCGTTTCAAGATGAAGAAATGTAAAAATAATATTGCCTCTTTTATTCCTTTATTAGCTGTTAATGCAGAAAGTTACCTTGCATTTCTTTTTGTTGCCATTTTATCGATCACTATAATTAAATCATCATTGCAAATCAAATATATTGCATAATGAAAAGGTGGAGCTTAGGAATTCTATTGAGTTCTCAGAGTCTTTTTCTTTGTGTCTCAAACTTTGGCCATGGAGCAGCCACTTGATCATTTATGGCTATGACTAGGAGGCAGGAAAAGAATATAGACTCACATGTTGTAACAAACTCAATTACTATTTATTTTTCAGGATGAGGCTGCTGCAGAACACAAAACCATACTATTTTACTGTATTGCAGAAGCAAATATCAATAGAATATAAACAGAAAAGACTCACAGACCATTTCAGAAACCTCCAGATTTGAGGGAACAGGAAGATAATAGAAAAACAATATCTTTGAAAGGTATTTTTGTTTGGGGAAAAAAAAAAAGTGTTTTGTCTATGACACATTAACACTATTCTACCTGTTCCACCGAAACACAGCAACTGCTGGGTTGTGTTCTTATCAATGTCTTTAAACCTGCTAGTAAAATTTGTCATGGGAATAAAATTAAAAGGTGCACAAGGGTATAAGCATAGCGCAAAATGCTCCTGAGCTATGATTACTAGAATAGCCAAGCTGCAGCAATGACCGATGTGTGCATGCATAGTGTACCCTCTCTGAACTGAGATACTTAACCAAGCAAAAGAAAAACTTAGGATAAAATGTCTGGTTTCCAGCTACTGCCTGGGCTGCTGCAATTCTACTTCTTCATGCACCCACCCTTTTAAAGTTTGAAGGATAAGAGCTTAGCTTTTGGAAAGGTTTGACTGCCAGTTGCATTTACTAGAAACAAACCAGCGTGCACCATACAAATTAAATCCTAACAGAAATATGTCATTCATGAGGATATTAAGCAGGAAATCTTTTCACAGTTGAGCTTTCTCTGATGAGTGAGGTAAGTAAATCAATAAAAGAGGAATAAAAGTGGGCAGAGACCTTAAGCACAATATCCTATAGTTGTTAAATGCTTATCATGAGATGTTCAGGGGTATTTTCTATGTGATTTAATGTGTGAGTCTGGGAAGTGTATCTTCATGAGATAATCTACTTCATTGTCTGCAACTCTGGCTAGATTCAGGAATCTAGCCCATTTCCTGAAGCTAGATTCGCTTAGGTGAATTCCAATACCAGCTTAAACATATGTGTAGAATCAATGAGAATTTAGTGTTCCCAAAAAGCTTTCTGAAGATTCAGTTGTCTTTCAAACAGATTCCCGTGAGCGCTGTATTTGTTGATTTTATGTTTCATAGTGTGCTCAACATTTAAAAAGCATTAAATATGTCCTAAATAATTATTTAATACAAACTTGAAAAGTAGGCTTCATGGTACATGATTTCTTGTGGACCATGAAAAATGGATTTTCACCATTTTTAAAAGAACTATAAATAGGCACAAGATAAAGTATGAGGAATACTATCCACAGTTCAATAAAAAGATTCCTGATAAGAGGGAGGGATAGCAGATAATACTTTCACAGGCTGTGAGCAGATACCCTTTACACTTCTCATTTTTTATAATGAGCAAATTATGTGTGTGGAACTCCCCCAGATACTCATAGAAAACTTTAATTTTCACCAGTCATTCCTCCTTCATTGGCTTTCCTTTGCGGTGCTTAGAATGTTTGTCACCTGAAGATGTCAATGTGGCAAAAGTACTGCTGGAATAAACAGATCCTGAATCAATGTCATAAAACTCTGTAATATGAAATAGATCTGATACCAACTTTTAAGGATAAAATATCAGTATGTCCTGCTACAAGAAAGTGTGAATCCAGGATATACTATCCTTCTGTGCAGGACTATGCAGAATAAGTCTTAACTGAAGAGAGTCGTTAACTATTATTAAATTTTAAATTTAGTCGTTAACTATTATTAAATTATTAAATTTTAGTGTCCTGGTCAGCACTCTGTATTGTCACTGCTCTGGAGCCAAATTCTTAAACAGACCTTAACTGCATAATCAGCTTTGTACTTGGAAGTTTTATATCCAAAATTTTGCAAGTTCGATGATGATAAAAAGTTGTTCTCTGTCAGACTGTTAAATACAATGGCTTGATTCTAATAGTAAATAAAACTAGATGCTGCAGTAAAAGATGCAAGAGAACCACAGAAGAGCATAGTAGAAATTTATTCATTCACTAACACTAAGCTTAGACTTCATTATATAAAAATTTTGCATTTTTTAATAAAGTTATTTTCTAGTAATTGTAGATATTTTTGTTATTCTTATAAATATCAAAATATCATATTTTTGCTAGACTGGCCACAGCAACAATATGTGTTAATGGGTTCAAATGCTATTTATTTATTACAAATGTTCCCCTGACACATTTCTCTGGAGGAACCATAAGAAGTCAGTATGAGATAATAGGAATACATCTTGTACTCAAGGAAAACAGTTTGATAAGATGCACAGCTGATTAAACTTGGAGGTCCTGTGAGAAAGATAGTGAGCTATTTTTTTTCCCCTTTCCTTTTTCTTCAACTTTTATTCACTTGCACACCCTATTTTTATCTCCTCTTGTTTCTGTCTTCCTTCATGAAGTCTCCTGAATATCTAACAGCCATATATCTCAAATTAAACCAGACTTTGACTAGCCCTGTTAATTGTGCATGTTTACATATGGAGGTGCATACCTCAAGGCAGGTACTTCTAGTATCTGGCCAATAGGACGTGTATTTTATTCTAATGTCAGTTTGAAAACAAAAATCAATGTCTTTTTCTTTTCAGTTCGAAAGGACATAGTTCATATCCTCTCAGATCTAGATGTCGAGGTCAAGGATATAACAGACTGTTATGATACTAGCTCTTTCCTTCAGCCACTGTCTTTGGAAGATGTATTTGAGAGAACAAGCAAGGAATTTCCTATGGTTGCTGAGATAATGGAAGGGCCTTCAGAAAGTCAAAAACCTCTTAAATTTCTGGATACAGGGAATGAGATCATTATCTACAAAAAGTACCAGACAACAAGAGTCCTAGCCTCAGAGATCAGAAGTGATTCCCCCAAAAGATATTTTTTAATCCCTATGAGCTACAAAGGAAGGTTCAAAAGAAGACCTCGGGAGTTTCCTACTGCCTATGACTTAGAGATAGCAAGAAGCGAAAAGGAACAACTTCATGTCGTAGCAACTAAAGCCTTTGATTCCCCTCATAAAGAGCTTTTCTCTGTTTCAGTTGGAGATCAGTTTCTAGTTCAGCAACGCCAGACTAGTGAAGTTCTGTATGAGGGAAGAAAGAAACTTATAGATGTTTTAGCTTGTGAACAAATACTAGGGGATACATATAAGAAAGTTCTTCTCCCTATGTACATGGAAGGTAGATTTGTGGAAGTGATTCATGACAAGAAACAGTACCAGCTTTCTGAGATTTGCAGAGAATTTCGTTTGCCTTTTAACGTCAAAGTGTCTGTGAGAGACCTTTCCATTGAAGAAGATGTCGTGGCTGCCATGCCTGGTCTGCAGTTTGAAGAAGAAATCACAGACTCTTATTTGCTGATCAGTAGTGCCAGAAGTCCAGTGGAGAGCTGGGAGATTCCTGTATGTCGTTTAAACATGTCCGTCCATTTGCTCAGCAAAGATGTCCAGACAGTTGTGCCTCCTGTGACTAAGACAAAAGTGGAAGAGATCAGTGAAGAGCAATACTATATGGTGCGAAGATATGAAAACCAAACCCTTCGTTCACCACCGAGGCCTCCTAAAAAGCCAACGCTTTCACCAAAACCTGGTTTTGCAGTACCTAAGCAAGGTGTGACTGATGTACTACAAGCTCCAAAGGTAAGGTATCACATCTTGTCTTTGAATCTCCTAAAATCACAGGTCATGTTCTGTTGGTTTACAGTCTCCGTTTCACTGGTGTATCGTAATAGCTTGTATACATATGGCTCTCAATTCCTGTAATAGGCAAATTGGCCATTGTAGTTGACAATGACTAAAATAGTCAGTATGTGTTAACTGTTCTGTGAAAAGCAGCAGAACCATACCAGCTCACAGCAGAAAACTTGGCCGGATAATTTTACATGGATAATCCTTTACTGCGCCAATGCAAAAGTGAAGGAAGAGAGTTGAAGTGGTTGTATTTAATTTTTTATTAAGGAAAAGCATAGTTTTAATGATATAAAGATAATTTTTCTTAGCTGGAACCAGCAGAATCAAATTCACAGGAAGTCAGGTTGTACAGATATTTTTGACTGCACGGTTTTGAGCTTACCCAAGTGACAAATAGATTTGGAATAAAAAGAGCAGACCTTTAGAATAGCATTTGAAGTTAAGAGATAAGTGCCCTTTCTGGGACAATTTTCCTCATGGCTAATGCAAGGCAATCATTTGTTCATTACTTTTTATGTTGGGTCTGGCTGAGATGGAGTTAATTTTCTTCACAGCAGCCTGTAAGATATTGTGTTTTGGGTTTGTGACTAAACAGCACTGATAACACCAGTGTTTTGGCTATTGCAAATCAGTGCACCCACAGTGTCAAGGCCTTCTCTTTTTCCCAGGCTGCCCATCCCCAGAAAGCAGGCTATGGGTGGGCAAGAGGCTGGGAGGGCAAACAGATGGCACAGCTGACCCCAGATGACCAAAAAGATACTCCATTTGTTGCTATGCTCAGCAATAAAAACTGAGGGAGTGGTTGGTCTGGGAAGGTTACCATAGCTCAGACTGGTTGGACACCAGTCTGCTTGTAGGAGGTGGTCACTGGGTGCCTTTGTATCACTGTGGGTTTTTTTCCCCTTTCCTTCACTTATTAAACTGTCTTTATCTCAGCCCACAAGTTTTCTTGGTTTTGCTCTTATTATTCTCTCTCCTGATGAGAACATAATCCTAATGTGAGTGCTTAACTGCTGGCTGGGGTCAATCTACCACATTTTTTTTCATAAATTGAAAGAATCAAAGGAAGGCACCTTGATGGACTTTAATGAAAGAGACTGTCCAGAAGGTATTTAATTTATGCAGTTGTTCTTGTGTGCAAATACAAATTCTCTACAGGGGAAGAATTAAAAACACAGGAAATACTTTCAGGCCTCTGCATTGTGACTGTGTTGCACTTTAGATGCAATGTAACTCATGGAGTTCTATTTTGGGGGATTTGGGGAAGGTTAGTTTTTTGTTGCTATCAAATTATGGTCCAGTTGTAGTGACCCTGGAGGGACAGCCTTTATTAAGTACCTCTCCTTGGCTACTGGAGATGTTTCTCCCCTCAATGCCAACTCCAAGACCACATGCAAGTGCACATCCTCACTCTTCTGGGAGATGGTTGCAACAGACTGTAGGAGACATGAATGGGTAAGGTGGGTCCCTCAGATAGGGTAATACAGTAAAAACCTGCATTGTTTTCTTCTATCTTTACATGCATTACAGAAACTGCTTTTCTTCTAATTTGTACAGTGAACCTTGTAGCAGCTTAAATAAGTCATCCTGATAGGCTAGGGAGGATAGACAAGAAACTGATCCCTTGAGCTAACAGGCAGGCCATCATCCTGGTGTTGGTGTAGAGTAAAGAACTGGAGAAGAATTCCCTAAAGTTGTGTTTCTGGTAGACCTTTATCATTGCCAGGAGGACTCAGATCTCCTGCAGTTACTGATAGGGGTGTGTGGAGAGCAACAGGTAGATGCTGACTCTAGTCTAGACTCATGCAGAAGATAATATTTTCCTGAAGTGAGTAGAGAGCAATAAGGGCAAGAGAGATAGCTCAGGTTCTTTTGCACATTTATGAGTGAAAGCAACCTCAGACTGCAGCTGTACAATGAAACACATTTAAGCAAATTGGTCCAGAAGACTTATTTTTTTGTCATGTGCTCAATATAAATAAACTGCAGTTGGAATGCTTAGAGTTATGCAGATTTGTGAATCTACTTCCCTGAAAAGGTGAAACAGGTAGAGATCCCTTATTCATAAGATCAAACATCCTGAGCTGTAATATAATAGGTTTAAAGTCACACAGAATGCATTATCTTTTCCATCCCGAACACCATGAATCCTCTGAGAGAACATGGCTGGTAGTGCATAAGCTTTGCCTTGGCTTCTCTGCCAGGGGTAGTGATAGGGGAGACTGCATTTTCTCCTACAAGTATCAGGGATGACTGGGGGTTCAGAAAGTTGGAAATTGTGCCGAACTGATAAACTGGCATTCTTTGAATATTTTGTGACTATGCATAGAATTATTTGCATAAATAACAGATGAATGTCCTAATGAGCTGAATTTAAGCCTGACAAGATGGCAGGCTGAATTAAGCCATAGTGCTGCATGAATTGCCATGCTCCTCCTGTGGCAGTTCCCTGCCTGGTGCTTAGGGAGCTCTGGCTACTTGCTGGAGGGTGTTGAATGGTTTCTTTGCCCACCAGCTGGGAAACTCTGCTTGGCTTGGTGCTCCAGGATTAAATGCTGCTGCTGCATGAGTCCACAGAGGACTAAGATCCATCTTTTTTATGCCAATACCTGAGGATGCTCTGCAAGAGTGGATCACCTCTAGCTATAGCTGGTGCTTTGATCACCTCTTAGCTCACAGCAAAGCTGTGGGGGCAGAGAGGCTCCAGCTGTCTCTGCCTGCTGTTCTCTGACATTGGTAAGGCAACACTAGGGCCAGGAGTAGTGCCATATGTTTCACTGTGTACTTTTTGCAATATTAGACACTTAATTGTGTGAGATTAACAGCCAGCATGAACTGGAACCTCAGATGAGTGCAAGACCTGCTTCTGCTTGGGTGCAAGGTGCAGTGCTGCAGAGACATGGATGTTTGCACAGTTCAGCAAAGTCCAGAGGCACCAGATGAATTCTCAAACATACTATAGCTCCATTAACCAAGCACTCTGCCCAGTCTCTTCACAGGGCTAATTAAGTTGGCTTGGCTCCTGCTGACACAGCTTTCGCTTCCAGATCCTGGGGATCTCTCCTTTCCCCTCCACAGTATGGTATAGACTTTCTCTCCCTCTCTTATCTGATCATTTTGTTTGGGTAGGAAACGGCAAGACCACATATGTTTGCAGTTTTGTATTATTTACTAAACAAAGACAAACCCCAAGAAAATATATGCAAACTAAACAAATGAAACAAAATAGCATGTATTGAATGATTAAATTAATCTGATATTTCACATATCAGGTGTCTATCTGTCCATGATACTATCTCATTATCAGATAGCAGATACCTATATTAATATGACCTCTACCCACAAGCATCCCCAGCTGAGGACAGTGATAAGAAAACAGTTATTGTACCCTTTGTCTAATGGTAAAAAGTTGGATACAAGCAGTCATTCACAAGAAATCCACATTTTCCTCACTGGAATGATTGGAATAAAGTCTTCACAGGGCTCTAAATGCCATGTTGAATTAAATAGTTTCAGCCATTCTATTTCTGACTTGTGAGCTTAGCTGGAAAATGAGAATGACCTAATAAACTCCTAGAAGTTAACGCTACTGATCTGAGAATGGAGCATCTATCTCTCTTGCCAAGTTGTTCCTGGAGAGAAGTTCCTGTGGGAGAAGCCAGTCACGACCTCACCTTCTTGAAATTATAGTTAACTTAAAAGACAAGCCAGATGTACCTGTTCTTTCCACAGGTAGTCTCACCACAGTGAATATAGCAAACCAAGTTTTCACTGAGGAACTCCAGAATAAGCTTTCAGGTGGGACCCTGAACAAAAGAGGCTTGAGAATTGTTTCATAAAATTTCCTCAGGCTTTTTACATGCTACCCTACAAGGTCATTTAAGTGGCAGAAACTTTCCAGCTTTTTTTCAGTCTGTCAGTTAAAGCTGTAAATATCCTACAGATTTAAGAAGGCTACTATATGACCCTCAATGGCTTAGTTTTAAATTGAAACCATCAAAGAATACCCCATGCCAAACATTGCTAAGTGCATTCACTGATATTGACTGATATTAGCTGATTCTGGGGGAATGGTAATCAAGGCATGGAAGGCCACACTTTAGTCCTAATACCCTGAGGGCACTAAGTACACTGCTTAAGGAATTAAAACAAGCAGTATTTGGCTCCTGATAAACAGTAAGAGAGGTTAGCTCCATCCAATGCTATTTTGAGAGGTCTGCTCTAACCTGAGCATCAGTAGAACCAGTAAAATACCAGCTCCAAGTTAGGATTGCTGCTAAATACCTTTATGAATGTGGAACTGGAAAAGTCAGTCACGGGCAGTAATCTGCTCAGCTTTGGCAAGAAACCTGAGAGAATTCCAGCCAGGGAAACTGGAATTTAATAGTAAGTATCACAGCATGGTAGTTAATTGTCATTCTGTGCTAAGGTCCATTATCCTTCAAAAAGTCATTACAGTGTTATGGTATCAGGAACTTTCTTGCTTTCTTGCTTTTTATTTCAAAATTAAAATAAAAGAAAAAATTATCATTTCCATCTGGCTTTGCAGTGCTACAAACTGAACTATCGAAATCTGCCATTGACATATTTGTCGCATCTGTCTTCACAGCAAAATGAAGACTTATCTGGAATTAAATTGATAAGACATAAGCTGCACTTTTCAGCAAATTAATTTTCCTGCAGTGCCTCCTTTCCTTCCTCCTATTTCTTTTCTGCTTCCAGAGCATTTTTTCATGCTTTGAGGGCCTTCATAGAGTAGATTTAACATAAGTTATTTCTGCAGTGTGGCAAGAAACTAACCTTCCTAAATAAATATGTATTAGAAAATACACACAGGACAGCCAGGAAGAAATAGGTAAGAACAGACTTCAGGAATTAATCTTTTGGCCTGGAAAAGAGGGATGAAAGTGTGTTTCATCAGCAGATGCAAAACTGTGCATATGTAAGTG